ATTTTACATTTAATAATCTGACTAATTTAATTCAACATTAATTAGCATTTTAACTTGCTTTCTTGTCCAAATGTGCCGTTTCAAATGTCCTTCCACTTATCATGTAAACTATAACACTCTAAGTATACATACATAGTGAACGGTGGGGCTAACTTCCAGAACAGTGGACAGGTCGAGGGTGGCTTGTACAGGGGGTGGAAGCGAGGGTGGTTTTCCGAAACAACTGGCATGGAACAACCCTCAGTTATAGACTTGTATTTACATAATCTGATGAGACGCAACACGTCCATAGAAGCAACTGTTAAACCCGTTCCGTCTCCTTTCTACTAAATAAATAAATAAAGAAATACTACACAACCTTGGTAGGTTTTTTGTTGTATTGCCTGGAAGACATCGCTTTCAATTAAATCCATACTAATACCTATATTATAAGGCTGAACAGTAGGTTTATTAAAAGCACTAATCTCGGTACCTACTGGTCCCAATTGAAAAATTATTTTAGTGTTGGATAGCTCGTATATCGAGGAAAACTATAGACTACATAACATCACGGTACAACCAATTGGCGCCGAGAATCAATGAAAAAGGTTGCAATAACTTGGGAAATTTATATTCGGAATATCACTATTGTGATTTTGTCAAAATTAATACACTGGGAAAGGAATAACAAAAGTTAACAGTAGCATTTCCAACATATTAACATAGGTAATCAACACTAAAACTTCTTTACGACCTCTACGTTGTTTGAAATAATGGTGGCGATATATTAGGGATGTTTTGTAATTTGTATTTTAATGAGTTAACAGTTTAATTATTGTTTGAGGATAAATATACAGAGCGGTCAGTTGTAGGTATCTAATAGGATTTATATGTTATTAAAAGTAAGGGAAGGTGATGTGAAATAATTGAAAATGATGACGTAATATTAAAAAAATGTTTTCGTTCATATGTACTGTTTACATATCTGAACGCTATCTTAAAGTGAATAAGAACATATAGGTATATAATCGATGTTATTGGGATTTAAAAAAAATACAATTACCAGATTGTTAAGGCGGTTTAAGTGGGTCAAGGTCTGATTAGGGTCCAAAAGCGTGCCTTAATATTATTATGTATCTACTTATTTATTGATTTTCATTGATCACTCTAAGGTCAAATCCTATAGATGCCTATAAATGAATGTAGTAAAAAAAAATCTTTAAGAGTATTCTGATGTCATATTTTAAACTATACATAATTGGAATCCTTTGTCATTAATAAGCAACTTAGCATTACATAATTCAGCATTAAACACGACCCAAAAATTATTTATGGTCTTAATATTGTCACATATAACAAGAGGCAACTTTAATGGTTTAAGTTATATCCAAATTCCGCACTATAAATACTCATTCGCGTAGCACTGACTTTTAAAAACCTATTACTTATGGTGGAAATCTTCTTTCATTCATCATCATCATCACCATCATCTCAGACAAAAGATGTCCTCTGCTGGACATAGGCCTCTCTCATAATTCCCTACAACAACCCATCCCCTGCTGCCCGCGTCCAACAGTTTAATGCAACCTTTACCAGGCCGTCGGACCACCTTGTGTGGGCCTACCAACCCTCTTGCATTAAATTGCTTGCTTATTCTTCCAGAATGGAAGCCTGTGACCTTGGCCAGTGCAACTTGATCAAATCGTCAGACATTTCAAGGGTATTTTCAATCTGCTATTCACTTTTTTCCCCGTTGAATATGAAACATTTTCTTTGTGTGTACTGTTTAGAACATAATTTAGATAAGAGTGTAATTGAAAATAAATGCAATAGCCCTTAACCTATTATTAAAGGAATCTCCAATTTATAACTTTCTTTTATCGTGTAGAAACTCCCAAGTCTCAATCTCGGCGAGGCTGTGAAATGGTATTGAGGTGATCCATATTTAGTATCTTGTATCATTGATTTCTGCAGTTCTTGATAAATGTGTGCTTCTTGACCCACGCTCCAAAATTGTATGCTCCAAATCATTAATGTGTGCTAAAAATAGTGTTAAGCCGAGGATACCTCACCAAATTATTGTTACTAACGTGTTTTTCACTTGTCACCCAGTAAGTAATAATAATAATACTAATCGTTTATATTTCTCTCAGTCTCAATAGTTACAGTTATTCCATCTTAAACTAGGTGTTATATGTTTGGTTAGGTGAATTTGTGTAAGAGACTGCCATCTGCACTAAGAGGACCTGTCTGACAGATTTACCAGTATCTCCAATTCTGGACATGTTACCTTTTTGATTTACTCCATTTGATTTGATTAAGTGGAACCAGGTGGATAACCAGGTGGAAGTGGTTATCCGTGTGGTGATGGATTAAGAATACTGAATGTCACCACCCCTATAGAACCCGTGGGTGTCGTAAGAACTAAGGGAGGAAACTACGCAAGGCAACAGCACTGCAAAGAGAAGGAAAACTTGAAACACACCCTATACCAACCCGTCTGGCCAGCGTGGTATAGTAACCCAAAACCTCCTTTCTAAGAAGAGGCCTATGTTCAGCAGTAGACTATTATAAGCTGTTGATGTGTGATGTGATGTAAGGTGGATGTGTGGACATGAGAGATGTGAAATAAAACTACGTCGCCATTTAATGGAGATTGGATGGACTACTCTTATGCCGATATCAGGCTATCTTGATCTGAATGAGGACCCATTTGATAAACTTGCAAGACTTCAGAATTTCTGCACAAGATTTATTTTAGGCTTGCGCAAATATGATCATATTGCCGAAAACTCAAGTGGTTCCTGATTCGGCTTCGTTGGAAAACTTACATCCTCTTACTACTATTTAATATATCATTTAATTCCTACAACTCCTATCTACTTAAAGAAACGATTTGCATTTATTCATAACACACAAACACGAAACGTGAGATCATCGGGAAAATTGACTTTAGAAATTCCAACACACTCGACAACTTTTACCGAGATATCTTACACAGTGTAGCCGCACGCCTATGGAATTTGTTACCGGAAGCTATAAGGCGGGCAAATTCAGTGAGTACCTACTTTTAAAAAACTCGTCAAGGATCACTATTTATTTATGTGCTATTTGACTGCGTGAATGTATGATTATGTATGTAAGTGTATGAATATGTATTCATGTATGTGTATGTGTAATTATATTATGTAATATAAGTAAATATACGTAAATTGTTAACGCGTACGATAAACCACATATTACTATATTTAAAAGTCCATCTAAAGGTTGCCTTGAAGAGATCGCAGACTGCGACAAGGAGACTCATTGCATCAGTATTTTTTTGTTTGTATTCTACATTGTATGTGTCCTAATCATGGTGTGTAGAAGTAAGTACCTATCCATCTATATATCTGCTGGCAGAGCTCAATAGAAATATTTGTCAAAGTTGGAATTCGAAAAAAGATCACCAAAATCTCAATTTTCAACACTTCTGGTAAATTTCCCAGTAATTATTTTTAGTTTTTTTTGGAAATGGGCAATTTCGCAATTGTCAATCAACCTGTTTTTAAGTCGGTTTATGTCGGTCAAGGTCTGAGTTGAATTCAATAGCGTGCCATTAAATTATATAAAGTACTTATTTATTGATTGCCACTGATAACCCCTAGCATGGAGTAACAAAAAGAATATTCTAACGTTATATTTAATATTATAATTCCATACCTTTGTTATTGCTACATATTTAAGCATAAAGACGACTCAAAATTGTATATAATACATCTATACAAATAAATAAAATTGGAGTGTCTGTTTGTAATATTAAAATAACCGCTTTTTACTAAATGCATATGTATGTTTACACGGTACATATGCCAAAATATTTTTTTTTTAAATTGTCTGTCTGTCTTTCTGTTTGTCTGTCTGTTTGTTCCGGGTAATCTCTGAAACGGCTGGACCGATTTCGACGGGACTTTCACTGGCAGATAGCTGATGACATAAGGAGTAACTTAGGCTATTTTTTTTAGACTAGCTTCGCCCCGCGGCGTTGTCCGGCTTTATAAGTACGTTTTCGCATTCTTGAGCACAGATTTTTTAAAACTGCATTTCTTTTACTTACGCCAGTAATCTTTCATTGCTTACTTATGCTAAGCCTTTCAAAGTTAACAGATATTTAGGCATCTTAGTCTGCTTTTAGCTTAGATTTTTCTTCACACTTAAGCTGATTGAAATTTCAAGTATTTCTAATTGTAAAATCTTCACCTCCAAGCACTCGAAACTATTTCAATTTTTTTTACACATCTCACACATGGCCGTCTGATTCCAAACTAGGCAGAGCCTGTGCTATGGCAACCAGACTGTTGATAAATATACTTATTTATTTCTAAATACAAATATATCATAGATAAATTACACCCAGACACAGAATAAATCATCGTGCTCATTACACAATTATTTATCCTGAGTGGGAATCGAACCCACGACCTCCGGCTTAGCAGTCAGGGTCACTAACCACTAGACCAACAGGCCCGTCAAACACCGCAAGAGCCGGTTGCTGCTTGAAACGAAACGTGTGCAAATGCATTTTTTTTAAATAATAAGTATATATCTTTTTTATAATATTTTTTTTATATAATATATTTTTTACATCATTGAAGAAATCATAGTTCTTCCTCCGAGCCTTTTTTTTCCAAACTAGGTCGGGGTCGGCTTTAAGTCTACTACGATACTTGCGACTGCCATCAGACCTACTCGTAAATAGAAGAACTCAAAGTATCAGAGCCGTTTTACGACCTCATTTTGAGTTTGTAAATTGCTTTATCTCACGACATGAAAAATCAAAATAAACAAACAAACATAAATAAAGAATAATAATGTTTTCCATTAATTTAAATAATATATTTTGTAATTTTAAGAGTCTATATTTAAATAATATAGACTCTTAAAATTACGTACCTATTGTTTATGGTCATTTGATCTTTAAAATTTAAAAAACAAATGAACGAAACGACTTACGAGAGGTAATAATGTTCTAGTGTAAGGATTTAACAATCTGTTTCTGGATATTGGAATTCCACGTTTGGTACGGATACTGGCCTAGAAGTAGGATTATTTGGTAAAGCATTTCGTTGTGCTCTGACTTGCTCACGTGCCACTTCTAAACCAATGTGCGCTCTTTTTCCTAAATCTTCGTCAATAAGAAACAGCAGCTTCAGAGCTTTCTCTATTACGGGAGGCGTAACTGTTACGAGAGACATCGCAAGATTTTCAATAAATCGCTGTCTATGTACTTCGCTCTCTAGCACATGATTGTAGAAATATGACAGAATGTTTAAATCAAAAGCGTTACTCTCCAACGTCAACAACTTGTCCCTCGGTTTCTTTTCATCAACATATGGCATGGGACCATTGAAAGAGTTAGGATAGTAATTTGGCGCATCTCTTCCATTTAACCTAACTGGTGGTTTGCCATCGCGGATGTAGGTTTTTGCATAACGTGGCATATTAATGAATATCCTATTATGGTTTCTACCTAAACGATAATTTTGAGTATCCCTGTAGGCAGCACGCCTGCCTCTGAACAACCAGTCAATGGGGCCAGGAATACCAGGTACTAAGTGAGCTGGATTAAAAGCACCTTGTTCTACATCCCTGAATTGATTTTCTACGTTTTGGTTTAATACTAAACGCCCAATTTGAACCGTAAAGAATGTTCCGTTCTTCCAAAGCCTAGTCACGTCAAACGGATCATAATCTACATTTACTATGTCATGTTTCGTCATTACATCCATTTCTAAACGCCACGAGGGGAAATTTTTTTGTTCAATATTATTGTATAGGTCTCTAACATAGTAGTCTGGATCTTGACCAGATATTGCAGTCGCCTGAGCTGTTGTTAAAAATGTAAAACCTTGTTCAGTTCTGAAGTTAAATCTCACGTAATGTGTTTCTCCATGTTTGTTTGCTAGTTCATAAGTGTGGATCGGAAATGCATCCATCCGTCTATAACCATTTGGAATACCATAATCAGCTAATAACCAGAAAAATGTGTGCAACAATACAGGTCTCAGGGTCATAAAATCCCAGAGAGCTGTAAAATCGAATAGATTCGTTTGAGGATTTCTTTTGAAAGCGTGTACGAACTGTGGAAACATAATAGGGTCTCTATATAAATAAATAGGGGTGTGAAGGCATGTAAGGTCTAAGTTTCCCGCTTCGGTGTACATTTTAACTGCCATGCCTTTCAACTCTCTACTAAGATCTGTTCCACCAAGGTTTTGTAATGCAGTTGAAAATCTAACTACTAGGGGTGTTCGCTTTCCTATTCCATTAAAAACATCTGCATACGTATATTTAGAAACGTCATTGGTAACTTCGAAGTAACCAAATGCACCGGTTCCCTTTGCGTGTACAACTCGTTCTGGTACTCTCTCTCCATCAAATGGCAACAAAGTATCAAGTAGCAACTGGTTGTTGAATTGGTCGGAATTGATAGTATGTATTTCTCTTATTTCTGTTGGATCCCCGGAGGATTTAGTCCATACTCCTATAGGTTTCTGTAAATCAAAGAGTCATATTTTAATTCTATTTATCAAAATAAGAGTAAATTTTATTTTAAAAATGTCAATAGATTATAGTGCTAAGTTCTGTACTTTTTTATGTAAATATTGACAACTGCAAATCGAGTAGATAATATATGTTATGTACATGATACATACTTCACATAAGAAATAAGAGAAGTAAAATCAAAATACTACATACCGGATGTTCAAGTCTGAAATCTAATAGCTGCATTCCCGCGGGTTGATATATAGTATCATTTTCGTATCCTTTAATGCTTTTGCCATAATGAATGATACAATAAACTATAGAAGTGATGAACAACTTCATATTGCACAAATGTTGCAGGTTTTCTCTGCAACATTGTTTAAATACCTTTTAAGAAACTGTTATAAGTGCTATTTCCTTTACGCAATATGTAATTGTACGAATAAATGTTATAATTACAAACAATTCGATATGCCGGTTGTTTCAATAATCTAAGAGTAGGGGAACTCTAGAACTGATAAAGGGATTTACTCAATCGCTATATATGAATAGAAAGAGAAATACCTAACACCTTATTGGGTGGCTCCACCGGGTCCGACGACGCGGAACCGCGACGTCTAGGGCTGCCGATCAGATTAGTTGAAACAAATCGATGGTCAAAAACTCAAACGTGTAAAAGAAAGGTAAGGAAGGTTAATTACATGCTGTAATGTGTATATTTTAATAACCTGCCCACTTAAGCAAGTCGTAAGGGAATTGCAGGGCCACAAAGTTACGAAAAAAAACGTGACCTTGACATTTTCAAGTGCAGTAAATTTCTTTTTTTTTAAGGAATACAGAAAAATATAATCTGCCGAAGTCCATAAACCAAAGTAGGAAAAGGTCGTGAATATTGTGTCCTACGAGCAGCTGGAATACACGGTGCATGCATGCCCCACTTCTACCTATTTATGGCTCTGTCACTGTGTCTGCACATTACTTCTTGTTGTCATGACGACACTACTCTACCATTCTCTCCTTTAATGGATAAAAATTACCTTTATAATATTTCAACTGGACAGGTGGACTAGAAATGGCAAACAGCTTACTGAATGCAGTGTAATCCAGATCTCTCATAAAACATTTAATTTTATATTTTTAAATACATGCACATGGTTTTTTTGCCTTTATTTTCACATATTGTAATTCAAAAAAGTTATAAAAAATTCGTTCTAAGATGAGATGAGAGCATTTTTAGAGATTATTTGATTTCTCTGAAAATCTAACGCGTCCCATCTTTTTTTCCGATTCTGTCCACTTCTTTATATCCACCTTTCTTGATATATATTTGCAAGCTGATAAATTAACATACCTTTTATATCAGAGGCAGAGGAGTTGGCACTTAACCAAGAATACCTGACATGCTCAAGTACCAGGCCACTCAGAAAGTATTCCAGTGTGTGTAGTTGACAAACGAGTGGAGGGGCTGGGATCGGCAACGCATTCGTGATTTTGAGTTGCCTTATGAGAGATTATGTGTAGTGTGTACGCTAGTCACTTTACATTAAATGACCCCCCCCCCCCCTCCCCCGTTTACTTCCCAAGTCATAAGAAAGATTTACAAAGTATTCTTCATCATCTGCCTAATTCAATCACTTATCCAAATTTTATTTGGGATCGGCGCAATATGTATGAGTGAAGACTCATACATATTTTACAGTGAAATGATGAATGATGGAGTAGAATGGAAGCATTCTACTCTATCATTCATCATTTCACTGTTTACTCCCTTGCTAGCCATATCCTCACTCACACAGTCCATTAACCTTTTCTTTAGTCTTCCTCTTCTCTTGTAAAAGGGTTTTAAAGCTTGTAAAGATATAAAGTATTACGATTTTAAATTTGATAATAGAACTCTAAATGTAGACTTACTCGTACATACAATTAACGTTAAGTTCTTGTGATTAGATTCGCAGTCTATGTAATTGCATGAAGGATGCACCGACGAAGACACGCACAGCAGCACTTTTGTTATAGCATAATCAATGTTTGAAATAAACGTAATAGGGGCAACCTATTGCCGTCCATCGGGTATATATAATTCTAAAAATATACTTTTATACTTCTAAATACATACGGATTATATATAAATTACACCAAGACACAGAACAAATGATCGTGCTCGGTACACAATATTTTGTCCATGGTAGGAATCGAACCTACGATCTCAGGTTCACAGACCCCTAGACCAACAGGCCAGCCCTGTCCTTCAAAAACATTAAATTTATTTCAGTCATGTAATACCATTTGTCATTTTCTTGTAGACGTATCAGCATATAACTTCTAGTTAAACTACTTTTTAAAAGTGACTTTAATAGATATTAGAACCTCTGAAATATACAGTCATGTCTTTAAAGGTAGCTAGACTGTAAGTTCAGTGTCACTTACGTTTTATGGGGCAAGCCTTTGCTGACAATCGGGTAGATATATTTCTAAAAAAACACATAAACATTTCTGAATACACATACATTTTCAAATGATATGAAATGCATTACATATCTAAATTTGAGAAGTATATTAATATTAAATCAAAGGTTTATTTTCAATTATTATTAAATAGCAATCAACGATATTAAAATGGCGATAAAAATATTCTCAGACTTATTCAAGACACTGCAGTCGAACTTGAACGAGCGCAAGACAAATCGTTGTTACGTGATTCCTGGAAATTGCGGTAGATGGCTATAGATGTCGCATAAAATATGACCATAAGAAAACAATTGAGACTTATCTGTGTTTATTACAGTAGTGTATATAGGTAACTTACCTATACATATATATCTAGTATACATATGTCTTACAGATCTCGTACTCTTTTACTCGACATCTATCCTGGAAGCATGAAGTTAGGCGAAGAGCTCCTTACATGGTCAGATTAAAACATTATAAGTTAGACACACTTAGCAAAAGACGAAAAATAGCTGATTTAAATTTTCTGCATGGAATAATAAATGGAAAAGTGACTGACTCCGAATTGTTAGGAAAAATAAAATTAAAGGTACCATTTCGATCTCCGCCACTCCGAAATCCCACAACCAATATGTTTGTTTTGCCCAGATGTCGTACTAATCTTGGGATAAATTTCGCCAATTGTAAGAATGTGCAATGCGTACAATTATTTAAACGCGAAGAATTTTGGTAATCTGGATATATTTCGTGAGAAACAAGCACATTTTAAGAATATTATAAATAAATGTATGGTATAGATTTTTGCAAATAAATATATATGTATATGTAGATATATATATATATATATGTGTAAGCTTATTGCATTGCATGATTTGTGCTTAGCATTTTATTGTTAAATGTTAATTTGCAAAGGTCTTAATAGTTATCGAACATGAAAATTATGTAAATTATCTCGTATCTCTCAAGGTAGTTAACATAAAATGGTAGATGCTGTGGACACATATTATTTTTGTATGTACTAGATTAAGACATTATGCATATTAGTTCTTCTTCTTAAGACGCTATTGTACAATACATTGTTTGTGTTCCTTAAAATAAATAAATAAATAAATACATGATTAGCTTTGGTGTTCGGCTATAGTGCCTCAGCCTCACACACAGTCGTATGAGCTCAATGATATCCTGACGTACCACGGCCTTCTCTTGATGCGCCACAGCGAATCTGCTGTAAGTGAGTAAACGAGAGGTACTCGTATAAGTGAGTTCAATTGTAGTAGAACTTCCATTATTTTCCTAAAGGATTGTATGCGCTTTTTCAAAATAAAAATAGATATGTATACAGAATGAATTGCGAATATAACGGTGGTCACTTACCATCAGTTGGTCCATATTCGTATGTATGTATGTAAGCATAAATAACAGTTTTGCAAAAATGAGGCAGTTCTCGTTTTTCTAATAAAAAACATTTGCATTCAAATGGAAAAAAAAACTATTACGCAAACTTATAATCCAGTATTTGGAATGTATATAGTTAATTGCTAATTGAGGATCACCATGAAAAGTCCTCCCACAGCCGTTTACTTTACGTCCGACGACCTTGTGAAGGTAGCAGGACGCCGTTAGATACTGGCAGCACAAGACCGGTTGTAGTGGAGACCCTTGGGGAGGCCTACGTCCAGCAGTGGACGTCTTTCGGATGGGATGATGATAATGGATGGGTTAAAAAAATTAAATTGAACTGACCGACGAACTAATTCACACCAGGTACTAGGTGTACACAATATTGGGATAGGATCCAGATAGTGTAGTGGATTGCAATAGGCTGAATAATTGATTAATTATATAAATTTAATCCCTTCCTAACACATCGATTAAGTTTGATTAATGGGATCTAATAATTTATAATATAATATACCTCATCAAAATTCACCCTCTCCAATAATGACTAACTTAACTTTGTTTGAGTGTAAACCCATATTTGTAAAACTTGTCCCATAGAAGTAGATAATAATAAAATCGACAATTGGTTTAAGTTTGGTGATCCCCACATGGGACAAGGCTTTGCGTGATCCACAAATTGTTTTTCAGAGTCTGGGTGTTCTCTGTGTCCGTTTTATGAATGTTTGCAAAGTCTCCCGCGACACAGGATTTATAACCAGCCTCACAGAAAACCGGTGTTAAGCAGCTCTTCCGTTGCTTTTCACTAAGTGAGTGAGGTTATCAGATGACTCTCCAATTCTCGTGGCAAAGGGTGGCAAAGCACTGTCTCTTGCTCATGCTTATGCATTAGCCAAATTTTTTTTTATTTTCTTTCTTTTGCTAGGAGCCTTTTTCCCAAACTAGGGTGGAGTCGGATTTAAGGCTGAACTGCGATTTTTTCGTGTAACGACTGTCATCAGATCTCCACAACCCAAGTACTAGGCGATAGCGAAGGTCTGTACAAAAACTGGTGTCGGAATTTTTTAGGGCTCTACCCGTAACGACTACTTAAAGTTTTATTATTAAAGTAAAAAGTACTTAGCTCTGTATCCTTATTAAAAGGTGGCCTCGTTATATCTAAGGCTTGCACATACTATTGTTATATATAGACAGCTGTCTTGCAGTTCCATTTTGGGATAAAACATTGGATACACAAAAACAAAGCCTGATTTCCACGTTATAAGGTTCAAATTGAAATGATAATACTGAATACATATTGACCCGAGCAAGATCGGGAACAGAAATAGGTCAGGCGAGGTCGCTATGCTATTCCAATTCTTATTACTTGGTATTAATTTACTTATTAATTACTCCTTTGGAATTCACCTGTACATATGTATTGTATGGTATATTTTGCTTAATGTTATAATCGATTTTAAATATAACAGTCTCTATGGGGACTGTTTCAAAAATTGTTAGTGAAATGAAAAATAGTTGCAATGTAAAAAGTTTTTTTATATCTTGCCAAAATATTTCCAAAAAAGGTAAACTTTACACAAACCCTCATTTTTATGTGTGGAAAACCGTCGGGCTGTCACCCCACCGGGGTTTACGGCGGGGTGGTGTGTCGAAATCGGACCGACTAAAACCACACGGTGTGCCATACCAACCCGTCTGGCCAGCTTGGTATAGCAGGCCAAAACCTTCTTTCTAACATGCTCAGTGGACTATTAAAGGCTCGTGATGATGACGATGATAAAAATATTTCCCTCCAAGCACTTACCTATGCATTCTTACACATAAACATTTAAAAAATGTTTCCTGCGGGTCAACGATAGCCACCGAAATTTGTAGAAGGCCTCTTCTTCAGTGTTAAATTTTCGTGAATATAACATTTTTGTTACTGTGAGGAATAAAAAAATCACATGGACCTAAATCTGGACGGTATGGACAATGGAGTAATATTAGTACTCCCGAAATAGTCAAATAGTCCATGTATGCGAAAATAATTTAGGTTGCGAGTGTAAGATTCCACCAGGTTCGTGTATGAGATACATACACGTCGTCAGGATGGACGAGTTATGCAGAATCGAATAGAATGGTTATGATTAAATGTGAGTAATCTGGTTTCTTGACTCCGGCAACACAGGGTTTTTTATGTTAGAGGGGACAGACGAGCAGACGGGTCACCTGATGGAAAGTCCCCATCTCCGCCCATGAAAGTCTGCTACTCAGGAGACACTAACGCGCTGCAGGCCTTTTAGGAAGGAGTACGCTCTTTTCTTGAAGGTTTGAAGGTCGTAACGGTCCGGAAATAGCGCAAATAATAACCCATTCCACAGATTGGTTGTGTGGGGCAAAAAGTGTCTCGGAAAGCGCACATTAGTGGAGCACCAAATATGAAGGTGATGAGGGTGACCATTTTTTTGGCGGAAAGTTGCAGGTGGTATTAGTACGCACAATCCCTCGGCACACCAGCATTTACGATTTTCAAGTCCGAGCATGCACCATCGACAACGACCTTAATGCTTCTATCCGCAAGGAAACTGGTGACCCATTCACACAATTTCTCGGGAAGCCCAAAATAAAGAAGCTTCTAAAGAAGCGCTATGGCGGGGATATGGTTATTCGGAACGGTTTTCGGGGGTGGAGAGCGCAGAGAGTGGCGTAGAAGTTTTTGACTGGAGAAGGGAGACACCTTTAAGAAGTGTGGGTAGGTGGTTCGTTTGCTTGAAACCTAAGTTTGAACACACGTTTGTTAAACCTAACAAGTTATGAATAATATATGTGTTGTTGTACCACGCTGGAGTTTCGAAATATAAGCTTTGAAAGATAACTTGGTGGATTATTTCTGAGATACCCCTTAAACGAGTTTACTCGTATTCATTATCCATACTAATACTAATATTTTACATGCGAAAGTGTGTCTGTCTGCTACCTCTTCACGCTTAAACCGCTTTAGACCGATTTAGATGAAATTTAGTATCGAGATAGTTTGAGTCCTGGGAAAGGACATAGGATAGTTTTATCCCAGAAATCATATTGGCTATCAATCCGTGAGCAAATACAACTCTCGAAACAGTGATCGCCGAACGTTCCATATATCGACAATCTCGTGAGATAAATAGTGAATAAGATAATTCACGAGATTCTCGTCATGAGGAACCGCGATATCGACAGTCATTGCTATCGCCTCTAATCGCGCTATGACCACAATATCAGGCTTATTAAGCACGAATAGTTCTGTCTGTGATAATAGATCGATCCCAATACAAAGTAGCCCGACCATTCTCGAGAACTGGGTGGGGCACGTACCTGTAGTACCACAGGCACCTGTAGATGGTATTTAAGGTATTTGCACAAGTTGGTATTTAAGGTCAAGCTGTTGGTGTACGATCCTGGCTACTTGGTTATGCCTGTGCAAATATTCACCGTTAGCGAGACGAGAACGACCAGCAATAATATACCTTGATATACTTAGATACTAGTAGGTTTCAGTGGCAGACAGAGATCTGAGTTTTGTTGAATCTGAAAGCTCTGTTCCTTCAGATTCTACTTCACCTAATCTACCCTATATACCCTATAACCTAATTTCCAATTCGGTAATGAACGGACTTAACAGCTTACGTCTTAAAACCGGTGCCAAACGGCACTGCTGGGTTATAATGGGTTAATTATAGGCCTCTCCTATTGCACGCCATTTAGATCAATTTTGGGCTTCTCGTATCCAGCTTCTAAACGCCATCTTGCGCAAATCGTCACTACACCTGGCCTATGGGCGTCCTTCACTACGTGGAATAACTATACATAATAAAAATGTGTTGGTTTTAATATCTCGACTTTTATCGGTTTTATAGGTAATAAGGATAAAGTTAGATATGAATAGTGTGTATGAAAAAAATATTGTAATTTAGTTTTTAATGTGTAGTTTCATTGTATGAGAGGAACCTAACTAGTGTCTGTCTGTCATGTGGTACGTGTTATTTGCGGCCCTTCTCCTTCCTCGCCCTTGTCCTTTTCTCCTTCCTCTTGCATAATATCATGTAAACATATTATGTTTAAATTATGTAAACATATTATCTTTAAATTATATATTTCTAAATTAAAAAATAACATTCACAAACCCAACACTGAAACATAAATGTTCCCGCTAAAATAAGAATGTTGCCATCTAAAATTTCAAAGGCACCTTTGGATCACTAACTGAACCACTTAAAAAAGACCCTTTCATCCTCCCACCGCTAAAGCTTTTACGCTGTTACAGGGATAAGATAATAAATTCGCACGGTTCAAGTTGTACCGGTCCACGATAACGTTTGTGTATTCGTGTTGTAAAGACAGACAGCCTACATTTACACCGTTGAGTTCTTTAAAATTCTTTAATATTAATCACTATACACATAACTAGTACAGGGAGACAGAGAACTACAGGAATAGTTTGTAGATAAACAAGATAGTTTATTATGACCGAAACTTCTAAAATGTTTTTTTCGGCTCTACGTCGAAGAGAAATCAGTCCTACCTAAAATATAAAGTTTCAATATCTTTGTATTGAGAAACACATAAGAATACACTTCAATAAGGGGCAATAGGATTGCCTCCTTTTACAAAAAAATAGTTGTAAAAATATGAGCATTTAATACGACTCTGTCTAGGATGAAACACGCGAGGGTATGTAACTTCGGGAATGGAGTTTTTGATTTCTCATATTTCAACTAAAATAGTGAACAGTACCAGTCCGCTGTTGGCAGATCAAGCGCGGTAACCCTTGTATACTGGCTTTACCGGCAATACGTCTGACGTTGGATGGATAAATGTTTGTCACTCAATCATAGCAAGACCGACTGAAATAAAATATTGGCACAAA